AGAATAAGATTAAAATAGACTAGAGACTAACACTGTAATGCAAGTAGGTGGGTGATAATAATAATATTTGTTTAAAAGTACATGAAGGTGCATTCATGGATATAAAAAAAAATTACATGTATGATGAACATATGTATAATTTGTCTTGTTAAAGGAGAGTCATTGTACAGTGTGATGGCAGTCAGCTGGAAAGGCAACCTGTAGTGTTCTCGGCCAGAGTGGAGCTGACACAGTCTGACTGAAAGTGCTCCTCTGTGTGACCAGTAGGTCATTAAGGGGGTGTGAGGTGTTCTCCATAATGTTCAACAGTTTGTGAAGCATCCTCCTCTTCACAACCAACTCCAGAGGCACCAGTGAATTCTCCAGCACAGACCCAGCCTTCACTGTTGGAATTTACCGACCTGTATCAGAACGTGTAGTCCTTGATCTGGGTTCTGGTTTTGGTTCCACTGCTTAAAGGTAAAACGGGGACTTCAGTGAGATGTCACATTTCTACACGCTTGTCTTCTGCTTGATTGACAGCTGTTTGATATACTGCTCGTACAGATTTTGTTTCACACATGATTAACAAACATTGTGGTCTTTAACTCGACACTCGCTGCTTAGCTGTGTAGAAAGAAGCTCAATCCCGCCCTCATGTAAACAGTGACCAACACGCGGAAAAATACAGTGGAAAAGCAGAGAACGGACCACATCAGCCCTTCAAGTTCCACCAGTTTATGGATATGAGAAGCTACAGGTTACATCTCGTTACATTCCTGTTTGGTCAGTTTGCTGGTGTCACTGCCTTCGATGCTGCTGCTCCAGCAGATAGGAGCAAAGAATATTACACTGATCACAACGGACTGGTAAGCGATTATACTGTACTTCTAGCTGCACACATTAAAGGACCTGAGCTTGTCAGGAAGTAGAGTCTGCCCACTCCCTTCCTCTGCACACTTTCTGTGTTACACTTCCAGTTCAGTCTGTTGCCAAGGTGGACTCCAGTGAATTTGCATCTCTGTGTTATGTGCAGAGCTCAGACCCAACCATTAAATTCAGCATTTATTTTCTTCTCATTCACAACAATTCACTACAGTCAACGTATCAAGCACCAAAAGGATTTAGTGGGTAAATGGCAAGTTGACCATGGGGAAAGTAAATACTTTGGATTATGGAGTTTGTGTTTTTCTTGGACTACAGATGATAAATTGCTTGTACTCTCTCCATTACTGGTGAATTTTGTTGCATGTACGGAGCATTGTTGTCTTACAACCTCTTCTCCACTCTGCTGTGTGCCAATGCGTGAGTACCACTCCCTTCCCTTCTCCCTTGACCTAGAGAGCAGAGAAGCAGAGCTTGCAGTCGTAAAGTGGTGTGTTGTATGGGAGTACTTTTATGAGTACAAGCACTATAGGGCCGTACCGGACCCAATACTGGTGTTAGTGTCTCCCTATTATATATATAAAATCATATCACCCAAACGTACCTCTATTTATTATGGTGTAGTCACTGATAAAACCAGGTTTATATGATGGATTTCCATTGCTTTGACAACAGGTGTTTGAAACACCTCTGCCAGAAGTGTATTCATTTGTCAGAGGAAAACTATGGGGAAAAAAAAACAATATGTTGCTGTTTTAGTGTGCATCTTATACTGGTTTAATTGCTCGTCTTTCCATTTTATTGGCGTGTCCTGCTGAGTTTCTATAGGAGTATAAATGGTGTAACTTTAAACGTGTCTGACTTAAATCCACACTCTGACATCTTTGTTCAGCCTACCTCCCTAACAATGTGCAAATGCCGTCCTCAACTTCATGCCCTCTCTGCTTCCTGAAATGCAGGAAATTGTGGGTTTTGTTTTGTTTTTGTCTACTTCAGGTTGTAGAAAGAGAGAGAAAACTGGGGAGGTCAGCAGAGAATGAGTAGAGTTATTTGCACCTGATGTGTTTCAGATGTTTATGTGAGTGCACTGACGAGTGTGTATACCTCACTACAGTAACAGTCAAGCAGTGTGTAGCATTATTCACCCACCTTCCGATCTCCTTCACTGCTCTTTGCTTCTTCCCACACAAATCCATCATTTAACAGTGTGTGTCGCTTCCTCGTACATTAAACAGTATGTGTTACTATGGTTGTGGGGGACAAATTTTAGTTCAAAACCTTCGTTGTGATGACATTTTGGTCGACACTCACACTTTCAAAGAGCTTTATGAAGGTTATGACTTGGTTTTATGGTTCAGGGTAAAATCAGGTTAGGTGAAGGGTCGGGGGTAAGCATTTAGTTGCGATGGGTAAGGGACTAGGGCGCTGAGTGTAATAGCAACTAAGACCAACAGATGTGTGCTAGTGTTCATTGAGGCTCCTCAAGTGGCTCTTCAACACAGAAAGACAGTAGGGATGCTCCGATCCGATATTCGTATCAGGTATCGGCGTCGATATGAAATAAAAATCTAGATCGGGTATCGATGACAACTGCCCCGATCTGAGAAAAAACTTTTGCTAGGCAAGTTAACGTTGCGATGAGACTGCGCAGCATGTTGCAGCTTGCACACGTGGTGTGCTCAGTCCTCATGTGATCAGGCTAACAGCATGGAGCGAGGCAGAACATCCACGATCTGGAGATACTTTGTGACAGAAACACCAATAAGTCCCGTCGCTGTTTGTAATATATGCAAGGTTAACGTTTCGAGGGGTGGTGGTAAAAGTCGAATTACAACACTACAAATTTAATAAAGCATCTACAGAGATTTCATCCAAATGAGCACACAGAGTTCAACGAGCAGAACAAACAAAAGCGAGATGGAACGAAGCAACTAACTTTGGAAGAGGGTGTTGATCTCCTTAGGCCACACCCTCCCTCGTTACACTAAAACACATCACCTGATATGCATTAAGTCCAATAAGCGTTCAAGTTTATACTGCTTGGAGTTGGAAATTATGGATAAAATGATGATATGGTCAAAATACTCACTTGCCTAATAATTGTGCACACTGTGTAGACTCAAACAAACTCACCTATGGTTTGAATATAAATAGTATTTTGGCTTGCATTGGGAGTCTTGCGGTAAGGGTCTCTGTAGAAGCTCTCAAAGTCTTGAGGTTCCTCGGGGTGAGCAGGGATCCAGTCTGAGTCAGAGTGAACTGTGATGGGTTGGAAAAGGGAGCCCGGTGACCCTTGGTGGAATCCATATTCCAGAAGTCGCCTTTCTTCTTTTGTGTACTTGCTGTAAAGTTTAGCCAAGTCCTGACGACCAGAGACCAAAGCTGACTGGAGTGTCTCCACGGAATGTTGGATAACCTTCATCTGTCGGGGGGACGTAATCATAACAGTCAGGGTGAAACTGGTAACATGATTTTACTATCACATGCAGATGTTTTTAAATTTGTTCCTTGTTTGTAGGGATGCTCCGATCCGATATTCGTATTGGGTATCGGCATCGATATGAAATAAAATTCTAGATCGGGTATCGACGACAACTGCCCCGATCCGAGAAAAAAACCTTTGCTAGGCAAGTTAACGCTGCGCTGAGATTGCGCAGCATGTTGCATATTGCACACGTGGTGTGCTCAGTCCTCATGTGTTCAAGCTAACAGCATGGAGCGAGGTAGAACATCCGCGATCTGGAGATACTTTGTGACAGAAACGCCAATAAGTCCCGTCGCTCAAAGTGCCATGCTAAATGCAACAAACTTTCCTATCAGCTGCTTTTGCACTGGATGTGACATTCCTTGCACTTTAATTTTGAAAGTCAAGCACAAGCTAGTGAAGTTGTGTTATTCCGCTGCTTTTGGATGTCAAATTACTCTTTGCACTCTGGTTCTGCTTTAATAAATTTAATAATGAATAATTTGTGAGCTTATTTTCTTTTACAATGCTATGACATTGTTCATGTAGAGCCCAATGCATTGCACAGGGATGCATACAGTTAATTAGGTAATTCAGCACTTTATAAAAATTTTACTTGGGTATCGGATCGGTACTCTGTATCGCCCAATACTGAATCCCAGGTATCGGAATTGGTATCGGAAGCAAAAAAAGGTGGATCGGAGGATCC